TAAATTGTTGTGAATTCTGTTGTTATAAATTGTAATATATGATGTCAATTTGCAACACTAATACAGTACAGATATCCAAGACATCAGCTCAATCTGTTCATAGCATTTCATGGAAATTATTCACTAGCATGATCGAAAGGGAAAGTTTCATTACCTAAAATAAATTAGGTGTAAGATTTTATGTACTTGGCTTTAAGTGCTTTAACCTGCTTTTGCTGAAATGAACAATCTATTTCATTTCACGTGAACCAATTCAAAAAGCTGTTATAAGAATATCACCAAAGAAAATTCTTGCAATGTGGCAAAACATGAGACCAAACTTCATAGGAGTGAATCTTCAAAGGTAAAGATTTTTGTAGTATTGTAGTTTATAATAAAGTCCCTAATGATAAATACATAATGCCACGGTTTGTAGATTTATAGACCAGACGAGAAGCGGAAAATGATTTTCCTGAACACTAAATGTAGAGACCCTCAAAGAATCATTCATCTTGGGAGGGTGTTATTAATTTAATAACAAAACTGGAAGGCTCACAGAGAGAAATGTGTTAAACAGCTTTGTGAAATATTCTGTTTAAAAAAATAATATTGTGCACAGTCACTACACTTCCCAGTAAAATCCTCTTAAATGCCTTGAGATGTCTTGATCACAAGTGCTGTATTAAATGCAAATACAGTGGAATCCGCTTTTGCCAGACCCCGGTTAATTCGGAAGTCAGGTAAATCGAACAAATTGCCCGGTTCTGAATCATCTGTATTCTTACTTGTTTTAAATATGGTGGTTGATTTGGCTAAAAATCCGTTTACTCCAGGTAAAATGCAGCGCCGGTTGTCGCTGAATGTACTCACTTGCACCTTCTGTGTGTCCATTCACCAACGAGCGATTCCTGGATGGAGATGGGAAGAATATAAGATTGATAGACAGTGGACTCCAGCCAATCACAAGCGGCTGGAGTTAGGCTGTCAATCAGTTCGCAGGGGGGAGGAACGGAGAAGAACACTCGAGGGAATATCATGACTGATTGACAGCTGAGCCGTTTTTGAATGGCTGGAGCCCAAACATTCACAAGTGACTCCAGGCTGTCAATCACCTCAATGTTGCTAATTGGTCCCCTTCCCTGACCCTATCACCCCCATCCTTGCCCGACTCCACAGGCTTCCCATCACACAGAGGATACAGTTCAAGATCTTGGTCCTCACTTTCAAAGCTCTCCGTGGACTTGCTCCCCACTACCTCTGCAACCTAATCCTAATCCTTGCATTTGATATAGGGCTTTTCACGTCGGGAGGACGTCCCAAAGCGCTTCACAGAACACACTGTAAAGTGAATTGACTGTATATTTGTGGGCGAACGCGGCAGCCAATTGCGCACAGCAATGTCCCACAAACAGTCGTAGATTGAAAATGACCAATTTATTATTGTTTTGGGTTTTGGAGGGATTATTATTAGGTGTGTGGAGTAAGGAAACTTGCCCAAGGTTTCGCCCTCTGCCTGGAATTGATCTCAGGTCTCTCACTTGCAAAACGAGTGCTCTAACCACTGAGCAGGACTCCACAATATTCCATATTGTTAAACGGCGTCAGCGATCTCCTCTGCTGAGCGGGAATGGTATTTTGGCTAACTTTGGACCCCACTTAAGCTGGACAAAACAGCGGTCCCTGAAGCTTAACCGGCTTCCACTGTATTATTATTTTGAAGTTTCTGGGGTATTTTCCATCGTGTATATTGCTTCAAGAACATTTGTTTGAATGTATTTACCTTCTTTCTTCATAAAATGGGAAAAATTCACATGACGTTAGTATTATAGTGAATAAAATAAAGCAAGTTGCAAGCATATTGCACATGTGAAAATGACCTTGTCAAATACATTTGCAGAAAATTCATTGAGCGGGTTGCAGAATGAGCTGTTCAGGGCCATTGCAGTAAGATTTAACAGATCATCATAGCTATTACAATCTTGTGTATCATGATAAAGCTGCCATTCATCCACTTACAAGGATGTCTCTGGGTGAAAGCAGCGTAAGGAAATAATAGCCAGTATTGTGAAATCCCATCTCTGTAATGCCAAACAACACCTCTGTGCATCGCGGCAACACCTGCTCAGCATTCACTCTGCCGTTGTTTCTTTGGCAACCAATGTCATGAAAACGAATTGCATATGGCCTCCTAATAAAAAAGGATCTAAATAAAGTGGAAAGGACATCTGTGATTTTAATAACCAGCTGAAACTCAGCCAGGCAGCTTTACACTATAAAGTGGATTTTCTTTTAAAATTCTCTACTTGTTTAATAGTTTGCGGTATTTTCTGAACAACATTTTATACTTGGACCACAGGCTTCCAATAGTCATTGTTTAGTGATCATTCCAAATGTCAAATATTTACAATAAGAGCACAGGAAGGCTTAGGAGCAGAGAAGACCATTATACTCCATATGGCCAGTCCTAAATTTAAGAAAAGGAATCCTACACTACTCTTTGTTACTCTCATACCGGTCAGTAGATTTCCTTGTCAAATAATTGCCGCTTGAACTTGTGGACAACAATCTTTGAGTTTATTTAGATTTATTACACATTTATTACATACTCTACAAATGTGTCTTATAATCATAGAAATGTTCCTGTGCAACGGGTTATATTCAAGGTGATGGGTGGCCTTTAAAAGAGAATTAGGTAAACATGTGCGGAGGAAGAGTATTAGAGAGTAAGGGGAAATAGCACACAATTGGGATTAGAATAGATAACTTCATTGGAGGAAGAATCTCTGACACTAATACAATGGGTTAAATGGTCTTCTACTGTAGATTTCTGTGGGAATATAATAATAATCCTGGTATAATGTGAATGCTCCATACAAAGAGAACATATCTGTAGAAAATACATTATTAAATTGGAACCGGTAATAGGTCAAATAAAGTAGTCACTTATTTTAAAGTTCAGCTCTTATTTCCCAGTCTTTAGTGGAACTACCTTGTAATTCACTGAGCTATCCATTAATGTATAGGCAAATTACTATTTGAACTGTAAAACAGACCCTAAATTGTGAGCATCCCTTTCCTTAATTCTAAATGGTAAAAAGAATGACAAATATAATTTTTAAAAAATTAACATCAGACGACACCAAAAAGATTGAGTTAAGATCCTATTTTGAATATGTATATTAATATAATATGTATATTATATCAGCAGTTTGCTTTCAGGCTTTCTGCCCTCACTCTCTGACTCATGTCCTTCCTCATCTCTTTCAAAGTCCATCTCAAAGCCTACATCTTTGCCTTCTCTTTCGGTCATCTTTCCCTTCCCCAGCCCACTAGCCTCCCACTCCCTCACACTCCCAGCTTGGGTGCCAAGCCAGCACTGTCAACTACCTTGGGATGTCCTCCTGATGTGAGAGGCTCTGTATAAATGTGAATTTGGATTGTAGACTAACTTCATCTCTCATACAGGATTGTGCATGGAACAAAGGACCATGCAGTGGACTTAAATGTTGTTGTAAACAGTATTTTATGTGTAAGAAAATTTCTTGAAGATTAAACATCAGATTTCAGTGATGTTTATATTGTTTGAGAAAGTTTGTGTTATGATAGTTATTATCCTTTCTGGTTAGATGGGCAGAATCTGCCATGCCGGTATCAGGAATAAGGGAATCTGGCTTTTTAAAGAATTATAGGCGTGTGCAGGACTGGAAAAGATCATTATGGTCCATCTGGCTAGACCCAAAGTAAAGAAAATCTAAAAAATAACTCCTATATGACTCTATTTCTCATTACACCTCAATTAAATTGTTCATCAAATAGCTGTAGTAATTAAATTTACTGACCCAATTGGGTCTAATATTCCATGATTTGTATTGGGATTACTTAAGAGAATTGTAGAATTTTACAGCACAAAAAAGAAACTTTTGCCCATTGGGTTTGCATTGAGCCACTTGAGCCATCCAATCTACCTTCATTTCATCTGTTTATACAGGAGAGCACTCTGGGATGCTATATAAATGTAAGTTGTTGTACACACGATTCCCTTTAATATTTCTCTTGTTTAAGCATCTGAGGCCCAAAATTTCCCCTAGTCGTAGCCTGTGAGACCATCTTATAGTATTAAAATAACAATCCTTGCATTCGATTTAGCATCTTTTGTGCAGGAAGAGGATGTTTTAAAGTGCCTCACAAGATACACTGCAAAGTGTACTAGCTGAGCCTTTTGTAGACACATTTGGTAGATTTAAGATTGTGCAGATTTGTGGAGAATTCTGAAACTGTAAACTTTAGAAGCTGGTTTTCCGCAGTTCTTTTAAAAGAACTGGCTTCCAAATCAAGACTTAAGCAATTTGGGAAATTCTACATGATCTTAAATTTTAGATCAAACAGTCTAGCAGACTAAGACTAGGTTGAATTTGGTGGTCTAATTCCAATTCTCTGCTTCAACAGCATTTTCTAGCAGTGAATTTCACTTTGCATCGACCTTTCATGTAAAGAATATTTTTGCAGGGAATTGTTGTTGAGTGTAGTGACTGTGTATTTGTGGGAAAATATGGTTTATGTATCATTTTACACACAGCAAGATTTCAATGGTCACCTTAACTGGAGGAATATTATAATAATAATAATATAATAATAATAATATTGGCCTGAGGTTGTGGAGAAACTCTCTTCTCATTGTGAATAATCTCATGGGATTTCTGATGACCACCTGAACAGGTAGACAAAACCTTGGGCTACTGTTTCATCTGAAAGCTGATATCACAGACAATACAGCACAATGCAGTGCAAGCCTCACATATGAGCTCAAGTTTAAAAATGCGGTTTGAACTCACAACCTCTGTCCCACGGGCAGGAGTGCCACCAATTCAACCAAGCTGATGCCTAAGCATTGCCTTAGTCTAGCATTTTAAAGGTTATTGTTCCAAATAAACTTTGTGAACTAAACACTGCTCATGTGGGGCTCTGTGGTACGAGGAGTTCTGATTCACTTACCTTTTTATGTACCCTCCTCATCATTCTAGGGATTGGCTAAACTGAACGGAAAGCTTCAGCCCATGGTGAATGGAATTAATGCAAACAGGACTAAATGGGAGGAACTCTACAGAATGTACCGTCAATCCCATGATGCCACAGATGCCACTAATCACACATTGAATAATGAACAATGAAGCGATCCACTATCTTGTGCAATGGACGTCATAATACTTGATCACCTAACCTCCCAGCCACAGAGGGTAGTTTTGGCCTCTGGCAGATGGAAAGTTAATGACAATGATGCAATTGCTGAGTATCTTCGATATTGTTTTGGCCACAAAGTCAACCTTACTCGAACATTACCATGAGGACCATCTGTGTGGCTGCTGCAGAGAAGGTATAAAATCATTTTGTTGCAGATCAGCTCTCGGTTGTGGAAAGGACATCAGCATTATAAACATTCAAAGCTACTCCCAGGAATTGTTTCATACACGCACACCTGTACCATGCACAACTATACAAGTTAGTATCTAAATATTACAAAATATGACTGCAGTGATTATACAACATCCTAAATCATCTGCTGCATCAGTGCTTTTTTGGTATTTTTTGTTTTAAAAAATCTGCCATTTCCTGGATCACTTTATTAAACTGACTTCTAGTTGTATTTATTGGCAGCAGGACCTTCAGATTGGCAATACAGCTTTAGTTGATGTTTGTGTTGCATGATATTAAGCTAACAAAAAACAACTCTGAACTCTCAATCGCTGCAATATCCTTTTATGTAGCAGTGACTTTTTATGTAGCAGTGTGGTTGAAGGGAACAGATCAAGGAGACTGCATTGAAACTAGCAGATGATAGGGTTTCATTTGTAATATTTGTAAAGGAAATTGTAACTAATGAACCCTGGAGAACATGGAAACAGAGGTTGATTCTCCAGACCTCCTCCCACTTTATCAACCTTGCCTCAGAGCATGGTTATTGCAGGTTACCAAGGATGTACAGTTTCCCTGCAGGCCATGCACTTCAAGTACATCCCAAGATGCTTTTCCCAGTATTGAGGAACCATTCACACGACTTTTCCCCCTCAACAACTGATTTTGAAGCCCCTGATTAAAAAGTTCATCTTTTTTTAAAAGGATCAACCCAGGCAGCATAAGTATTAAGACACAACAGAGTAGGTTAATGCCAGGAAGTGCATCAAACCCAAGTGATCTGAAGGGAGACGGCTGTTTAATAATACTGGTCATTTCCTTCCCCTCCAATTTTTGGACTGCTCCTCATCAGAGAGGCAGTTCAACCTGACCTGACCTTCATGTGATGCACCTCAACAGCTATTCATTTCAACTTGGTAAGAACTGGCATATTGATTTTAGGCAAAGGTAAGGTTTATTTTAACATGCAACATGACCTTCCTTTCACATTCCCAGATATAAAGGTTTCACCTGTACCTGTACTCCACATATCTGTCCTGTACTCTGTTGATGAAATGCATTATGGATTGTTGTCTGCAGACTTTTGGCTCCTTTTATAGGATATGGCTCACTAATAAGTTAGAGGTCAGTTTCACGGAACTTACTTTTAATCTGAGTATTAAATGCTACATTCTCTTATCTGATCATATAAATTATAACTAACTTATAATGAACACTTCTGTTGGATCAGACTAAGACTGGATAACATGGCATGTTAGCCAGAGTTTCTTTTTGTTTCTGTGGAATAAGATGCATAAAGGCTTTGGAGCAGTGGTGCCCATTATGTGGTCCAGGTTCCACTTACCCTTCAGCTGTAGTGGGGTAGTGGGGGAGGCTATGGGAGAGGGATAAGAATGGGTGGAGTCTTATGTTGTTTATATAAATACCAGCATAGATTAGGTGTCCTGTTTTAGTGCTGTAGATTCTATGTGAAGATTTACGGCTTCTTGTATCTTTGGGCATCCATTATTCAACATCTTCATAAATGATCTGGAGCTAGGAATCACAAAGCACAGTGGCTAAACTTCAGGACAACACAACGCTAATGAAGGTGGAGACTGCAAAGATGAACAGGATAGGTTACAAGAGGAGTGAACAAACTTGGGAATTGGGCAGATTGATGGCAGATAAAATTCAATGTAGAGAAAAGTAAGGTGCTTCACATGGGGACAAAAAAAATCCAGGAAGGGACTATTATTTATGAAAAAAATCTGTACGGAAAATGGAAAGGACCTGGTGGTCCAACAGTGCTCGGTAGCAGTGAGCAAGGCAAACTAGATGCTGAGCTGTATTAAAAAAGCAATATTGAGCCGAAATAGTGGGGCACCCTGCCACTTTATAAATCATTGGTACCACCGCACTTGGAATACTGTGTGCAGTTCTGGTCACCGCAATATAAAAAGGATATTGCAGTGATTGAGGATACAGAGGAGGGCAACCAAAATGCTTGAGGGGATGGAGGGACTGGACTACCAGGAGCGATCAGATAAATTGGGCATGTTCACACTGGAGAAGAGAAGATTGAAGGGTGATATGATTACAGTCTTTAAGATAATAATATTAATAATAATAATCCTTGCATTTGATATAGCGCTTTTCACGTCTTCTAGACGTCCCAAAGCACTTCACAGGATATACTGTAAAGTGAATTGACTGTATATTTGTGGGCGAACGCAGCAGCCAATTGCGCACAGCAATGTCCCACAAGATTCTGGAGGGACTAAATAATGAAGACCATGATAAGCTATTTTATCTTGCACTGAACAGTAGAACCAGAGGACGCAGCTTGCGATTGAAGGGGAGTAAATTCAGAACAAATCTGTGGGAACACCACTTCAATGAGTGTGTAGTAAACTTATGGAACAGGCTCCCTCTGGAGACGGTGGAAGCAGAAAGTATTGATTATTTTAAGAACACATTAGATAGATTTCTGCTAGAAAATAACATCTCGGGATTCAATGTATAGTTTAGGACACGACATGTCAAGCGACTGGCAGGATGGTGGACGGCGAACTAGATAGATCTTTGTCTTCTTTCGCCAAGCAAAGTCCTATGTTCTTATATTCATTCATGATCTTCCTAAATGTGATGGGATGACAGAGATGAGATGTTTTCTCTCCTTTTCCTGTTCTCCAGTGAGAGGAGTAGGATTGCTGTTAGATGGTGGACCAAATAAAAGTCCTCCAAAAAAACACAGACTTGTAGTTTTCATAGAGTTATCACTTGTTTAGTTCTTTACTCTCCTGTGGCAAAGTGTCTTGCCTTCGTCAGCAATTTCTTACTGTTTCATAATGGAAATCAGGAACTGCAGGCTCAGAACTCAGCACCATCACTTGTTGGTGTGGCTTTACTGGGAGTGGCTCTCATACAAAATGCTGCTTGAAATCATCGTCTCAGGCAGTCTCTATGGTGTAGGTGATAGAACTGCAGCTTAAAGCTCAGGAGCTCACTGGCTGAAATCCTGATCTGTGCTGATTTTGATACTCTCACTATAGTTGTATAGAGAGGTTAAATTGGCTCTAGTCTTCTCAAGGTGAGGGAGGAGAAGACCAGCCAGGGTTCCTGTTCCTGGTCCCTCTTCAGTACCCTCTAGTGGTAATTTGTGTGTGTGGCAGACGGGTTGGGAAAGGTCAGCCTTGGCTGTGACACCACTTTATACAGTCGAGTGGACCTGTTCACATTTAATTCCAATGGCCATTTGAACAGACTGCAGCCCAGTAAGAGAAGGTCAGACCAAAATCATGTGCCAGTGGGGAGAAAATTTGAAAAATAATTGGATGCATTACATGTTTAATAATAAAAACAGGAACCATGACCTAAACTGAGAAACACTGCTGGATAATACATACTTTATTATTGAAATAAAAATAAAAAGATCCTAACTAGCAGACTGGATCTATATATAAATCACCAACTGGTAGCATTAGCTTGAATTATTATCCCAAAACTAATAATGTTTATTAACCAGCGAAAGTGAAACGATATTTTACACATCATTATGAACAAAGTGGACACATCAGCTGAAACAACATAACCTAGGTCTGAAATAAATAGCGCAACTGTTAATGGAACAGGCAGCAACTATTTTCCACATCATATAAATAGTCTTGGAGTTAATTAATAAAAGTTATGGGAAATGATTCACCAAAATATTTATATTTTAACGGTTTAAAGGTCGACAGTCACTACATTGTACTTGTACTTACAGCTAGATTAAAAACAGAATTGCTGCGAATCCCCAGCAGGGTCAAGAAGCATCTGAAAGATAATCGAGGCTCAAACCTTTCAACTTCTTTCTTTCTCAGATAATGAGCTACCTACTTGTTGTGGGATTTCAGCATCTCTGCTTTTATTCCATATTTCCTCTGCAATTCTTTGTTCTGACAGCTGAAGTCTGCTTACAGCAACACAATTAAAACCAAATCTATATTAACATTTTAATACTATGTATTTTTTAAAAAAAAGAAATTTTGTAGTCTTTATGTGTAAACGAACGAGGCCCATGATGTCTTTTAGAATGCGGGTGGTGGAGGTGTCTGTATTATTCATGCTGGAGGTTTGTTTACAGGTGGATTTCTTTGATCACAAACAGTGGAATCGGTCAGACAATCAGACTGAACTGGAATGTGGACTTCTGTGGCAGCATTGCTAGCAGTCAGAGAAATTATCTTATTTCATTGAAGTATTGTCTGCAAAAAGGAAAACTAATGGACTCTTACTAAAAAGCGCAAAAATAGCAAATGTATCTTTAAAAAGATGGCTTTGCAGCGTTGCCTGATTTATAGAAATAGGATAAAAATTGCAGTTTTCTTAATAGATTCATTGCATCTGAGATATATCACACTTTTCACTCGAATGTTTGGGTTCAATGCCCATTCCCTGCATGAGAACTAACCACTAAACTACAGGTAATGAGTTAGCCCTGGAACAAGATGCATTATGCACAAAGTGATATCTTTTTGTTTAAGGCAGAGCTGCAAATGCAATATTCTATTGCTTCTTTAGAATGGAACAGCGCAATTATTGTAACCCTTAGAATGAATACTCAGCACTGTATAAAAACAAGCACCAGCAGCAAAGACTGATGTAATTGATCAGGGAAATGCACCAAAGAGAGAATGTAATCACTTTCATGATGCACATCATTCTGGAACTAGAATTGCAACATATAAAGCACTGTTTCTGTAATAAATTAGAGGAGGGGTATAATTTTAAGAGCATGCATGAAAAATGTGAAAGTCTGTTAAATAATAACCTACGGGGAACAGTTTGTTTAAGTGAAAGCAAATTAAGATGCTAAACTTTTTGTCTCCTTTTTCTCAGTTTTATTACCTGAACAAAGAATGCTTGTACTGCTGAGAGTTTGTATATCAGTGTGCATGTCTCAATGCTATTAAAAATCTTATTTGAACAATTTATGTTCACTTCCTTTACAATATCAGTTAGGGAGTCAGTGTGAAGCGGGACGTGGTTTATTTTGTTTTTTAAATAATCTTTTAAATTGTACATTAGATGAATGAGGCAAAGATTGTTCCACTTGTTTATGTAGTTGTTGAATTAAAAGTCAATGAGACTGAGATTAATTAATGACGTCTCACCCTGGGTTATTGCTTCACAGAGCTGTTGTTTCTTGCACAGTATTGTACATATATATTTAAATTCATCTAGTTCCCTTTTGAGTGATAGAATGGAAACTACAGTCACACATGCCTTCGATGCAAACCCATTCTGTATTCTTTAACAATTGTGCACAATCTAGCATGAATTCAAAAGAATGCTGGGAAGAATTCTTGTTTTAATTAATTAATGCCCTATTAAATCGCTTGCAACCACCAGAGCTGAAGAAACAATTTAAATCTCACCAAGTGATCAACATAATATATTACAGCGCTTCTTTATTTGTAAGGGAATCAATGTGGATTGTTTTTTTTATCCTTATGAGTTTTTTCCACCGAGTCCAATGAGATCATTATCTTCATACCTAGGCATTTGGCACGTACACGCCTGTAATGCTCTGATTCAAAGAGTAAAACAAAATAAATCTTAAGTGTTTGGGATTCCTTAGACGTTCTTGAAGTAATTAAAAACAATCAGCAGAAATATTACAAACATAACAACACCAAATTATATTTAGTTGTGATTTTTGAACTATCTGTGACCTGCAACCATTGCCCCGTTGCTTAATGTCCCCTGCTCAGTCCACCTCATCATTCTCTGGAACTTGATCCAGGATTCTCTCCATCTTTTCCTGTCCCTCTCTGCCTTAAGGCCTACATTTTTAACTGTGCTTTCAGTCATCTTTCCCCCTGTACTCACTTCTTCTGGCTCAAGCTCCCAGTTAGTGCGAGAAGCACTCTTAAGACATCTTTCCAAAGTGAAGACACTATATGAATGTAAATGTTGAATTTACATGTTTAGTTTACAGCCTAATAACGTGCTGCTTTGTTTCTTCAAGTTGCAGAAGCATTAACCTTACAGTATTTGAATTATTTAGGAAAGTAAATTTTAATGAACAATTAAATTGGTGTAAATTATTTTGTGTTATTTCTATGAATTAGCACAACGAATATGTGATAAAGACTAGCACTACAGCTGTGGAGTTATTAATAAATAATATGTAGGCTGATTCTTATTGCTGACATTCACCATGCAAAAAATACAAGCAATGTAAGCTCTCCTTTATTGGTTATATTTCTCCATGGTTTTAAAGCCATAAATGATCATTCCAACCTGAAAGTGTGAAATATTATTCACGAAAGGTTTATTTATAAACATTTTTTATTGGAGACAAAGCGATAATTCGGTATTAACTTTATATGGGGTTTTTAAAGCAACTGTGCTTTGTTACAAATCACATTTATATTTGCCATTGAATTCTTACAGATGAGAAGCTGATGTTTCTTTTTAATCTAAGGAATACAATTAACTTACAAATTATTTTACAAGCCAGTATCTTTCTGTTTCTGTTAGTATCAGTATGAATTATGTATTAGAATGGGCTAATATTGGACAGATGAGATTCAGATACGTTCAAATTTTCCACTTTATGGTAGGTTTATTTAAATTTTGCATCAGCAGCAGTCATTTAAATAACTGCAGTGAGCTAAATGGATTTTAAAACCCCATAAGAAGCTCGAATTATTATCAACAAACAGAAGTGAGTTATGCTGCATTAATATTTTATTTGTCAAAAATAGATTTAATTTTATAGACAGATTTGTGGTACAGTGCATTGGCAGACTGATGGATCTTGGAGTGATAAGCGCATTATTCCCCACACGGTGAGCTCTGAATCTCATCCCAGGCCATCTGCTAAAGGCATTGCAATCTGCTTCACCAGGGAGAAAGGACTGCAGGGTAGGTGAACTTACATCACAGCTCCTGAGGAGAGAGTGGATTCAAAGCATACGGGAACAGGTATTTACCTGCTCTTGCTGAGGTACTGGTGTGTATGCGGGGGGGGGGAAGTGGGGGGTGGGGAGGGGGGTAGAGGTCAGAGGACAACAATGACAGAAGAGGAAAGCTAAAGAGATGGACGAAATAGGTTACAAAGCAAACAGAGAAAGAAAAATATTTGACATTTTCAGAGCAAAGTTGACGTCATGTTCATGAATTATTTAATCTCTCAATTATGCAACAATTTATTCATGGCAGATTTATGTACGCAAGTAGTTCGGTTGATTAAGACTTTGCACAAGGAGGCCCTAACTTCCACCTAAGTCTTGGTCTGCAAGATAAATGTTTCTTAAATTTAAGATTTAAGTTTGTGCAGAATTGTAGAAAATTCTTAAATTCAATCTTAATTTGGAAACTGGTTCCTTTTTAACAATTGCGGAAAATTATAGGCATTCGCCTACAAAATACATAGTCACTACACTTTACGGTAAAAATGTACCGTGAAGTGCTTTGAAACATTCTCCCAACGTGAAAAGCGAATGCAAAGAATATTATTAAAACAATCTTCCAAATTAGGACTGGGTTTAAGAACGTAACACAATTCTGTCTGATCTTAGATGTTAACACAACAGGGTCCGACCGATATGCTGAGACTGGATGGAATTTCAGACCCTGATATTTGTGGGATTGTGAAAGCAAATACATTTTTCATTAGTACCTCCAAACTGTGTTCAGTCACTTTATGAGGTGTACGACTGAAGTGAGGTGATGATAATCCAGAGCAAGATCGGAGCTAATGCTTATTATAGATTTACTGTGTTAGTTGCATGCTCCTGGACCTATGTGACCAATTATTTTTTCTTTAAAATTTCCTTATTATAGAATCCCATTAAAAAAAAACACAAATTAGATCCTAGCCTAATGCTAGGATGAAATTGTATCCTTGAAATCATCTCCATGTACGATTTATTTGTTTAACGTTCATGCTGCAGGGTACACGGCAGTGTTACTCTGATTTCAGTGCCTTGGCGGTTGATGTGGTGGTGAGTGTCAGTGACCAGGTGGCTCCATGAAGCTGGTACATGATAACATCCACATTGAAATAGCTCAGTAGCTTTGAACATAATCACTGAAAATTTACTGAGTGATCTTCCAAAGCTGTTTAAAGTCCCAGTGCATTTTATAAACTTACTGCTTCTGCATCACAAGGAAGGAGTTATAACTCTGGTTAGAGTGATGATAAAGCAGAGCTTTTTGTTTCACATATTGACACAATAAATTGAAAGCACGTCTTTTTAGACATTTTCACAACTTGAAGAAAAATGCTTCAACCTTACTGACTGTGACAAGATATTTAATCTGTGGTTGCTGGCATTTTGGTGACATCAACCTGACTGTGAGAGCTGATGTGAGATTCAACAGAAAGTCTGGCATCATCAAATATGCTTCACTGCGCCTCAAGACAGAACATTATAAGATTACATCTCTTTAATGGGTTTAGAAGCATTGGGATTGGGTCTAGAGAACATCGCTGTGAAATGCAGACTAATTCATGGGCATGATTTTATATCCATGGAAGGAGCAATTTGAGCTTTGTGGGTATCCTGATTCTGTCACACTAGCCCTTCATCAGCCGATGCTATACTATGTGGGGACATAACCACATCCTGACATTGTCAGACGTCCCATCTTTCACATCAGACATTAGCCACCCGAAGTCCCATTGGCATGCTCAGGTGAATATTAACAATTCCACAACACTATTTGAAAAACGAAGGGAGTTGCTCCTGATATCTGTCCAACAATCTACCAGATAAATTAATCATTCACCTCATGCTCGTATGTGGGACAGACCTGGTGCAAATGGCGTGTTCCTGTAAAGAACGTCACTACATTTGGCAGTAATTACATCTGAAATACTTTGAGACTTTCACTGTGATAAGGTTCTGAAAAAAGGGAAATTCTTTCATCCTTTACCACCTAACTGCACATCACAGTAAAGTGTCTTGAAAGCAATCCGTGGTTTCCTATCTAAAGAATCATATAAAAGAAAGTGTAGATAGGTGGAAATTATATTCTGTAAATCATTTAGTACATATTTCATATCTACAATTTGCAAATGCTGCATTTTAACCTATATTTCCTTTGATACATTATTTTTCAAATATGCATTAAATTCAAAGCTCAGGGAATTGGGTCAATTATTTTTAATTTGAATAACCAGAGTAATTATATAACAACAACTTGCACTTATATAGTGCCCTCCACGCAGGGTATCCTCTCAGAGCGCTTGAGACGCTACCCTGATAACTATTGTAGCACTTGATAACTGTTGGAGCAGACTGCAGCCCTGCTTGGAAGGCAATATTTTTCATCATGCAGCAACATTGTAGTTTGGTAGGAGGGGTGGAGGACAATTTTGTGCCATGTGCAACTGGGCTTAGTGTGCACTATTGATACTAATAATCTTTTCATTTGCTAAAGCGTCTTTCACGTCACGAGGACATGTCAAAAAGCTTTGCAGGATTTACTAAACAGTGTAGTAACTATTCTGCAGGCGAATGTGGCAGCCAATTTGCACAGAGCAAAGTCACTTACCATGTGGCCAGTAAATGCATGGTAGCATGAAATTTGACAAAACGATATGCAGAATGTAATTTCCACTTTTCTACAATGTAGTCTTTAGATGAGAGACCAAGGATCACATTCAAGGCACCTAGAATATATAAAATCAGGGTACGTGGGTAATAAATGCACAGTAATTGTGTGCAATTACTATTTTGTCGTTAAAATGCCAATTTTTAAACTTTTTTACATGTTAATTTACTGCTAATGGTGCTGAAAGCCATTCGGTGGAACTTTACATTATTGGAAATGAGAACATTGAGGAAACAGCATAAGATATAAAAATCTAATGAAGTTAACGTAAAGTGGCTCCTCTTTTATGAGATGAAACTTTTTGTTACAAACGTTGTTCAATAAGATTCTACAACTCTGCTCTTTTGTTTCCATGTAAACATAGCCCATTCAATTGAATGTAATTAACAATAATAATCTTTACATTGATATCAAGACCTTTCTCTTCAACCACACCTTCGGTCACTTGCCCAGCTTGCCTAGCTTATCAATGAGACTTGGAGGGGCAGACGTGTCACAGGGGAATGGGAATCTTATCCACTCAAACCTTTATA